GAGGCCGAGGTAGACCTCTTCGCCTCAGAAGACAACTCTCATTGCCCAATTTATTATTCGAAGATCAGGGACGCGTTGGCCCATGATTGGCCCAACCTCCTCCTTTATGCATTTTCCCCAATTGCCCTGATCCCACAGGTAATCAGGCGAATCAGGGAACAGAGACACAAGGTTCTCTTGGTGGCCCCTCTCTGGAAGAACCAACTTTGGTTATCAGAGCTGACACAGCTGCTGGTAGCAGCCCCTTGGCCCATTCCGTTGAGACAGATTTCCTCTCTCAAGCGGACGGGACAATATGGCACCCTCTGCCCGAGCTGTGGGCCCTGCACCTCTGGCCGCTCGACGGGAGCCTACAAGCCTCCCAGAGCGAGTTTTAAACACTATTTCGGAGGCTAGAGCCCCGTCTACGAGACGCCTCTATGCCCTTAAGTGGTCTATTTTCTCTGCTTGGTGCCTAAACCGCGGTGAAGACCCATCTACCTCTGACCTATCAGTGGTTTTGTCATTCCTGCAAGAGCTGCTGGATAAGGGACGCTCCCATCCACCCTCAAAGTTTACGTAGCAGCTTTAGCGGCCTCTCCTGCCCCTATTGCGGGCCAATCGGTGGGCAGGAACAGCGCGGTTGTCCGCTTCTTGAGGTGCGCCAGGAGGCTGAATCCGCCTCGTCCCCCTCACTGTCCCTTCATGGGATATGCCCACTGTGCTGAGGGCCCTGAAGGGCCCTCCTTTTGAGCCGCTACAGTCTAGAAGACTGCTCTGCTTCTAGCACTAGCATCTGTAAAGCGAATAGCTTGGAATTCGGGCCTAACGACTTTTAGGTTGTCCTGGAACCAAGGCATGGTTACATACCCAAGGTGCTCTCCACTCCATTCAGAGCACAGGTCATCGCGCGCTCTGCGCTTCCTCCCTCTGAAGAGGACCGAAAGTTATCCTTGCTCTGCCCCATCAGAGCTCTAAGAATTTACATTGAGCATTCCGCCCCCTTCAGACGGTCGGAACAACTCTTTGTTAGCTTCGGTAACCGCACCAAAGGGCATCCGGTCACGAAGCAAAGACTTTCTAGGTGGATAGTAGACGCTATCACGCTAGCGTACTCTTCCTTGGGCCTACAATGTCCCATCGGAGTATGGGCCCATTCCACCAGAGGCATCGCCACGTCTTGGGCGTGGTCTAGCGGTGTGTCCATTGCAGAGATTTGTGAGGCGGCCATATATATAGCCAGATGGCCCCACCCATTCTGGCTGGCTTTGTCGCCATAGGCTCGTGCTGCTCCGCTGCCAAGCCATTGGTTTGTTTTTAATACACTGCACGAACCAATGGCCGTGCAGTTTCACTGCGTGATTGAAAAAGGCTTCAGTTCAGGAGAAAAAAGGCTTTTTCCCATAGCGTCTTTAGCAAGGCGCAGTACTCGTTCCCGTATCTCAGGGAACCGAGGTTACGTTAGTAACTGAGTACGTTTTGTTGCATAATGTTAGTTTTGATGCATAATGTTAGTTTTGATGTTTTAATACTTTTATCTTGGTTTTGCTCTCTGTTGCTTTGAGCCATTAAACTCCCATTAACTATTTGTCATTTTTTCACTTTAGACCTGATGGCAATAAAAGAAGAGAGTCAAGAACTGAAAGAAACAGAAGAGAAAGATCAAAATGAGAGACATAATTTCTTTGTTGTAGAAAAATCCATACCGACTGAAACAAATTCAGTTCAGAAGACCAAATCTCCCAGTTACTTGACTTGCCATGAATGTGGAAAGTGTTTCACATTAAAAGTAAACCTTAATGAACACATGAAAATTCACACTAGAGAGAAGCCATTCACATGCCAGCACTGTGGAAAGAGTTTCACACTAAAAGGAAGCCTTAATGAACATGTAATCATTCACACTGGAGAGAAGCCGTTCATATGTGATCAGTGTGGAAAGTGTTTCACTAAAAAAGGAAATCTTAATAAACATATAACCATTCACACTGGAGGGAAACCGTTCACATGTGATCACTGTGGAAAGAGTTTCAGATATAAAGAAACTCTTAAATCCCACATGAGAGTTCACACTGGAGAGCAGCTGTTCACATGCCAACACTGTGGAAAGTGTTTCACACTAAAAGCAAACCTTAAACAACACATGAGAATTCACACCGGAGAGAAGCCGTTCACATGCCAACACTGTGGAAAGAGTTTCACACTGAAAGCAAACCTTAAACAACACATGAGAATTCACACCGGAGAAAAGCCGTTCACATGCCAACACTGCGGAAAGAGCTTCGTTACAAAAGGAACCCTTAATCAACACATAACCATTCATTCAGGGAAGCCATTCACATGTGATCAGTGTGGAAGGAGTTACAAATATGAAGAAAGCCTCAAATCCCACATGAGAGTTCACACTGGAGAGAAGTCGTTCGCACGTGATCTGTCTGGACATGGTTACAAATACATTGAAACCCTTAATTCCCACACGAAGAGTGAACATTCAAGAGAGAAGGGTTTTGTGTGTCATCAGTGTGGAGAGAGTTTCAGCTGTAAAGTAAGCCTCTAGACTCATGTGAGACTTCATACAACAGAGAAGGCTTTCACCTGCAAACTGTGTGGGGATAGCTTCTCACAAAATGGAAATCTTAAGTCACACATGAGAATTCACACTAGAGAGAAGCATTTAGTGTGTAAAGAGTTTCAGACGTAACCCTTGATTCACACATGAAAAGTACTTGCAACTGTAAACTGTGTGGGATCATAGAAACCTGTTATTAATTCACTACTATAAAGCCATTTTTTTTAAATGGCACCAGAAAATATGCATCTCTGTGAAATAAAGGTGACGTTCACACTGAAGTTGAATGTGGCTCAAATCTGATTGTCTACCTTCATAACCATTTGCATTCTTCATCTCATAAATAAATAAATATAAATATATATTTGGCATTTTATGTCTTGTGCATGTGAACTCATTTGAGATTGTTAGCGAGAATATAGCTATCAGTCCGCAACGGGACCACTACAATAGTTAACCATCCGCTGCTGGAAATGTCTATTTTCCACACGACTAAAAGCATTGTAAAACTAATCTCACAAACTAGTCTTATGACTTTTGTAATTTTGCCATCCACATACTGGGTAAATCAATTAGAGATGCACCGATTGCGATTTTCTTGGCCGATTCCGATTTCCGATTTTTTGTTAGTGTGATCTGCCGATTCTGATTTTCTTTCTAAGAACTATAACTGACAGCATATACGAACAAAAATCTACTTTTCTTCAACGCAAAGTTTTATTTTCATAAAAAAACAAGTAAAAAGTAATTAATAAAATAAGAACAAATACAAAAATTGCAAACAACAGCACAAATAAATGCAATAGAATAAAGAGAGCTATGAAACTAAGTTTTTCAGGTTAAGTAAGTATTTATTCAGGTAAGAAATACTACAGAAATTAATCAAATGTAAAATAACACATCCGTATTATTTTACATTTGATTACTTTAATTTCTGTAGTCTTCATTGTAAAAATTAAATACAGATTAATGCTTACCATTAAAGTTATAAAACGTATTCAGACAAGAGCAGAAAGTGATTTTCTTTGTCTTTTGTTCTTTGATTAACATGACAGACAGCAGCAGGAATATTGGACTGGGGTCCCTTTAAGAGTTTATCCACAGACCCAATATACTGTTACACAACATGCGTTCTCTTTCTCAACTATTTAACGTTCCAAAACTGACTGTGTTTAACTGGATACTCGCCAAGACGGGCATTTTGACATAATTTTGTATGTATTTGACCGTTTTAGTGCAGTTAGACACTCATTTTGGTATTTGTGGCAGCTTGTGTGTGCTCCACTAATATTGATCAGTTCTGGTGCGCGCGCTTTTGGTCTAAGCGTGAAACCTGCGGGAATGACTCAAATAATGCGCAATACAAGCACTATTTAACCGGAGCGAATGAGACGTGTGTGAGAGAGAAGGAAGGGGTCGTTGGAGAGAAGAGCAAGAAGGCGCGGTTGACGTTATTGCCTGTGCCGCTGGTAACAAAACGGATCGGCTTGGAATCGGAAAGAAGTGAGACTGATCGGCCGATCACCGATCCGGGCCGATCATGAGGGAAATCGGCCGATTCCGATCCCTGGCCGATTGATCGTTGCGTCTCTAAAATCAATCATCCAAGAGCTACATGCATACTCAAAATGGCATTGAACAAGTCCTATAGCAAGCACACTTAAACTTCCGCTATCAAAAAAACCTAGTATATCTTGCAATGTGTTTGATTCTAGCGTTAAATTTACGCCATATTTACTCCACTTAAATTACTATCCAAAACACAGCCAAGATAACTGACTGATGTTCTAATTAACCTAATCTAATTAAAAGTTAAGTGCCCTCTAGTGGGCGTAAAAATAATGACAGTGTCATGTTGCGTCTGGCGTCATGAAATGACGTATGACTGTCATTACCAATCAAAATGCATGTTTATTTAAATGCAATGTGTGGACTTTTTACATGGTCCAACCTGATCTCACTGCAATTTGTACATATTTTACTAGGTGGCTACTTCATTATACGAATTTGTATGAATGACCACACCTAGTAAACCTACCCTCACAGAAAATCGTGATTTACAGTGCATACACATTTTATGAGCACGTGCCTTCTCTGGGATTGAACCCATGATCACATGGTTGCATATCGTTGTATAAAGCGATGCTCTACCAACTGAGCTATACGAAACCCGAATTATGACACAGATAAAAGAGTATCTGTCTTCATTCAACTGTCTTCACACTACATTATATAAACAACTGGTGACCATTTACCAGACCCAAGATATACACAAAATAAATGAATGCACACAGTTAAAACTGTATTTTACTGCTGAAAACAGACTTTAAATGAATAATGAATAAATAACATAATAAAGACAGATTCACCATGTTGTATTCTCCTCTTCTCATCCTGTAGATGATTGTGTTCATCCTGTAGTCGATCGTGTGCTGAAGAAAATTCAGAATAAAGACGAGAGAAAACACAATTCAGACAACAAATAGAAAAATATAATTTTTGATTCCGGAACAATAACTACAAATTACAGGATATACACAAAAGTATATGAATACACAATGTCTGTTAATTAAATATTTTGTGGATGAAAACAGACTTGACATTAAATTGTGACCAATAATTTAATTCAGTATTAGTTTGGGGACCAATTCTCACTATTAACTAACTATTAACTACAACTTTTGTCTCAATAAATTAATTTGCTGCTTATTAATACTTAGTAAGGTAGTTAAGTTTATATGGGGGGGATTACGGGATGTAAAATATGGTCATGCAGAATAAGGCAGTAATATCTGCTTTATAATACTAATAAACAGCCAATATGCTAGTAATATGCATGCTAATAAACAACTAGTTAATAGTGAGAATTGGTCTCTGAAGTGTTACCAAATTATTTAATGAAGACATTCAAAAAATGTTGTATCCTCAACATCATGTTTCACAGATGAGGTGGTTTATCAAAACAAAAATGTGTAGATAAAGTTCTGTTCTGCATTTTTGTAACATCATGCATCTAGTCTAAGTGGACCTCCATGACATGTGGAGTCCCACAAGGCTCAATTCTTGCACCGCTCTTGTTTAGCCTGTATATGCTCCCACTAAGTCAAATAATGAGAAAGAACCAAATCGCCTATCACAGCTATGCAGATGATACCCAGATTTATCTAGCCTTATCTCCAAATGACTACAGCCCCATTGACTCTCTGCCAATGCATTGATGAAATTAACAGTTGGATGTGCCAAAATTTTCTTCAGTTAAACAAGGAGAAAACTGAAGTCATTGCATTTGGAAACAAAGATGAAGTTCTCAACAAAGATGAAGTTCTTAAGGTGAATGCATACCTTGACTCTAGGGTCAAACAACTAAAAATCAAGTCAGGAATCTTGGTGTGATTCTGGAGACAGTTGGAACCAGGTTCCAGAAGACATCAGATGTGCTAAAACACTAGCCATAGTCTTAATTCATTTTAAATCAATTATCATTTTAAAATTTTAATTCTTTGCTTTTATTGTTGTGATTATTTGCATGATTATTTTAATCCTTTGTATGTAAAGCACTTTGAATTACCACTGTGCTATATAAATAAACTCACCTTGCCTTGAAAATTATCCCTATACTGCTTTATTTACATAAATATATAAAATAATAAGAAAACAAGCATTTTACCTCTGTTTTTATGGACAAACACAGCTATCAGTATTCCAGCAGTTTGAGATAAACAGGGCTTAGCGCTAATTATTAAGTTATTGCTTGCCCTGACGCAAGAAAATCTAATATTTGCTGTTAACATCGTGTTTGATCTGTTATCTTGTACTAAAAGATACTGTGGACCGCACATGACCCCAAAATCTTAGATACCAATTCAGTTATGTAGATATCAGGTACAGAAATTAAATAATCATTTGTAAAATAACATTTATATTCTTCACTCAGTGTTGCACCTTGATTTTTCATAGCCTTCACGTGATATCGGAATAATCGTAAATATTAATGTTTCCTAATCTGAGATTAGACGCGAGCGCCTCTCGAGTCGTATTTACTACCGAGATCATTCTGATACCAGAGTTTCCTAACAAAGAGAAAGAAAGACGCAGAAAGAGACTCAATAGACCATATGCACGATTACTTCCTGGGTTTAGATCAGCCAGCTCAGTTATTTCCGCTCAGCTGTACTGTGCCGCAGGGAGCGCCCTTTGCTCGGTTTCTCCACATAATCCATTCACAGTCTGGAGAAAAGTTTGGTTTGTCTAAGAGAACCAAATGTCCACATATACCGTTTCAGGACAAACAATGTTAAATTTACGCGAGTGAATCCGTTAAATCATGCCGCGCGGCATTGCTATGGTTGACAGTGGCAACGGAATGAATCATCTGACCAGCCGACGTCAAAATAATTTTGTTTTAATTATTATTTAATTAATAATAATTAAGCGATTGAGACTAAATTCAGACTAACAAAACTACAGCAGCAACAAGTCTGTATTGGATAAAACTTAAACGATGTAGTTAAATTATTCAATTTAAACATTTCAAAATATTGAATGCACTATTTAATTCTTATACTTATTTAATTTGTATTTAACTATGTAGGTATTTAAATAATTCAGCATTATAGGCTGTTGTCTGGCCTTATTTATTTATTTTTTTAAATGACAAGTGACTTTGTGACTTCTTGCACTTTATATTCAGTGCGATAAAATACTAAAATTTGTTGTAATATTTATTTTATTAGAAATCAAAAAGCAAGACATGAAAAATCAGGGAGTTGAAATGGCAGCTGCAGCCAATGAGCCCAAAGGCAAAGTGAGGCTATATTTCCTTTCGTTTCTTATTAAGTTAATGTAGGAAGACGTTTGGAGCATTTTTTGTTCGTTAAATAAGTTTTTGTTTTTTAAAGTAACGAGCAAGCGGCCAGCGGC